TCGAGGCGCTGCGCGAGTTCGTCCTTTGTGACGCGCTGCTCCAGGGCGGCCGCGAATTTCTCGAGCCACGCCTGGCGGACGGTGTTGGTATGTGGTACGTGTTGGTGGCTATGGCTGGCGGGCGAGCAGTGTGTAAGATGGTGTCGGTGGGGCATTCCAGAGGCAGGGGTGGAAAAACAAAAAGTGAGCACGCGAGTCCTGCGCGGTGGCTGCGACCTGGCCTCCAATGGCTACGTGACTGCATGGGGGCGCGGCGCGCGCGCGCACACACACACACACACATACACACACTCTCTCTCTCTTTCTCTTACACACACATACACACACACACTAGCAAGTCCAACTACAATGCGCCAACAAAGCCCGATACAAGCGCCCCTGCCGCACCTGCCACCGCGCATCGTCCTCCCGCAAGCGCTCCCGCGCAAACGCATCCACCCGCTCCCCCGCCGCCCGCCGCGCCGCCGCCGCCACCGCCGCCCGCACCGCCTCTGCGCCGCCCCCGCCTGCTGCAATGGCAGCCGCGCAGCTGAGGCCCTCTGACAGCGCCTCCACTGCCGCCGCCTGCCGTTCCAGCGCCGCTGCAAGCGCGTCCTGCCGCTCGGCGGACAGCTTCCTGGCGGCTTCCCAGCGGCCGCCCAGCTTCTTGGTAGCTGCCGAGCAGGTGGATCCCAGCTCCACCAGCGACTTTTCGAGGGACGACAGCAGCCCGCAGTGCCTGCATGCAACAGCCGTCGGAAGAGGGCACGCAATCTTAAAAACCACCATAAGCATTTGCATCCCTCAATCCAAATTGACGCCCACCCCTCCACTCCAGACAGCGGCTCAAGCCAGCGGAGGCAGCCAAACAACAGATGGTTTGCCAGGCAAACAAAAGGCGGACAGTCGAGGCGCCACGGGCAAAAGCCACCGCTCACTTCTCAATCAGCCTGGCCTGGACGGCCGCCTCCTTGCCTGCCGCCGCCTGCTGGCTGCTGACCACCCGCAGCTTGGCTTCGGCGGAGCCGAGCCGCGCCCCCAAATCTGTCACGTGCAGCTTCAGCTGGCAGGGTACGAGTGGGGTGAGGGCGGCCGGCGGGGATCCAAGTTCGTTGGTGGAGCGGGATGGTGGAGCGGGATAAGGAGGGGGACGGCGCCTTTCGTCCAAAGAGCAGGTGGCCAGGCCGGCCATCTCTGCTGGCTGCATTCCCGTGGTCGATCCACTTTTTGGAAGCGTGTGCGGCAGCTCTGAAGCTCGACGTTTCACGGCGCCGCAGACGGCGTGCGGCAAGCTCCGCCGTGCTCCTTATGGCCAAAAAACCCGCGACAACTGCCGATCGTCGGTGGTTAATCGCCACAAGCCCCTGATGTCCGCCAAGAACCGCCGATAACCGCCAACAACCGCGTATGCAAGGGGCGGGCGGGGCCTCACGTGGTCCGCCAGCCGCTCCTGCATCGCCTCGGCCACCAGCTCCGCGACCTGCTGCCGCGCCGCCGGCCCCAGTGAGCGCTCGCCCTGGGCCACCTGGGCGGCGAGCGCGCCCAGCTTGCCCTGCAGTCGCTGAAGCCCCTCGTCGCCTCGGCGCCGCTCCTCGGCAGACGATGCCCTCAGCGCCTCCTGGGGGAGGCGTCGGCGGCGGCGGTGCGGGTGCGGCGAGGCCTTGCGCACCTCAGATCCAGCAATGCAATGAATCCGATCTGTGCTACGAGTGCGTTCGCGCACATGTCTGGAGTCCCACCAAACGTGTGTGGCTTTGAGAATGCGCGCCCTGTTTGGCCAATGCCTGCAACCTGAATGCGTGTACGCACATTGATAGGCAAGCTGCCTGACCTGGGACCACAATTGCACCCCGGCCCACCCACCAGCAGCTCTATTGCCTGGTTTGAGCGCGCCGACCCCGCCTGCGCACACGCTGACGTGTCCTGCAGCTGCTCCGCCGCTTCCTGCTGCTGCCCCCTCAAGTCCTGCGCCTCAGCCTGGGTGGAGGAAGGATGGGAAAGGTACGAAGAAGAGAAGAGATTGGACGCGGTCGCACCCAAGGGCACACGGTCACACTGCCACATCAGCAAGTGCCACCGAGACATAAGCTTGCTCCAGCTGTTCGCCTCTCAAAGCGTGTGCTTACAGCGTCATGCCTCCTGGTGTTCGCCTAGGAGCAGTTACTCTTCCCTCTTGGTTGGCCGCACCTGCCAGGAAGCTTCCGCCCGCGCCAGCCCCTCCGCCACCCACTGCTTCACGTCCCGCAACGTCGGCCGCTCCTCTGCGCTGCTGATCGCCTGCAGACACCCGATGAAATATCAGCGGGTCGACGCCGCCTCTCAATCCTGTTCTGTGAGCCCCCCACGCCCACGACACCCAGCACCCCTGGATCTGCCCAACCCCCATGCGCTGTTTTCTGAGGGTCCCAATCGCACGCCATGCACCCCGAACCCGCCACGACTGCGCGCGCGCGGCCCTGGAGAAACTGCACAGCGGCAGGCGGCCGCCAGGCGGCCTGGGCCCTGCCGCGCCCAGCCCCTGTGCATCAGTCACATGTGATCAGCTGCGGTTGGCGCGCCGCGCCGCGCCCCGCCCCGCACGCACCGCGGCGAGGCGCTGTATGGCGGTGGCGTGCTCATCTACGCGCTTGAAGGTCGCGTTGGTCAGGGACGCCACTCCCTCGGTGTTAGACGCCACCTTGGGGGTGGATGAGATACATGCACATAGCGGCGCAGCGAGCGTCGGCGGGGGCGGGCGACACAACCCGGGCGGCGGGGCAGGGCAAGGCGAGAGACGGCCAGCGGCCAGCGCGCGCACTGGGGCAGGCGTGCACACAGCGGGCGACGCCGACGCGAGTGGCACGTCAAATGCTGTCCATCTAACACTAAAATCCAGAGCGCAACGCAGTCAATGCGGCGAATTGCTCCTTTCAAAGCGCGCCGCGATCCCACCTGCTCCTGCAGCTGGTCTATCCGCAGCAGCGCCCGCCGCAGGCCGGCCTCCTCGGCCTTGCCCCCCAGCTCCCCCGCCGTCCGCCGCCACGCGGCCTCTGCGCGCGCCACCCGCGCCGCCAGCGGCGCCCCCGCCACCGCCGCCGCGCCGGGCTCGCCTTCCCAGTCCCCGTCGCCCTCAGTTATCGGCCCTGCGCCCTGCGGCCCGCCGGCCCCGAACACGTCGCGCCGCAGCGTATCCGCGCGCTGCGCTACGGAGGCGCAGCGGGCGTTGAGCGACTCGAGGGCGCGCCCGTGGCGCTCGAGCGCGCCGGCCGCCGCGCACGACGCCGAGTGGAGGCCTGCCCAGGCACGATGGGTGGGCAGCGGCTCGGCTCAGACGTGTGTTGCGAATGAGCTGCAAGGAAGCCCCCGTTCACCCGGGCTGAAAGGAGGGCGGCAACCGTATAGGAGGTGCAGCAGAGAAAAAGCCGGGCCGCGGCGCCTTCCGTCTTTCGCGTCACTTGACGGAGGGTTTAGGGTTCAGCATTGCGAACCCGCCCTCCGCGGCTCACCCTTGGCTGTGAGCTGCAGCCCCTCCACCCCGCCCCTCAGCTCAGCCACCTCCAGCCGGACGCCGTCCAGCGCCTTGGATATTATGTTGAATCCAAAAGCGGGCAGACGCGCTTACCAACCAGTCAAGTGGGCGTGGCAGCTCTTTCCATAGCGGTACTTCAAGATCCAAGACTGTTTACGCAGTTGCTGCACCGCTTGCGACCCCTGCACTCACAACAGGCGACAGACGGTCGTGACGAGTGGCGGCGCCCTCCGCTGGCCAGACGTGTCCAGGGATGCTGCATAACCCAATAGCCCCACAGCACCAACACCGCACCTGCGGCACCGCGGCGGCGTGCTGCTCCAGCTCCTCGACCCGCTGCGCCACCGCCGCCGCCTGCTCCGCGCACGCGTCCGTGCGCCGCTGCAGCCGCCGCGCCGTCGACGCGAGCGCGTCCGCGTCCGCCTTGCTGGTGGACAGCCTGGCGACCTCGCGGCGCAGGTCGCCTACCTCTGATTGCAGCGCGTCCGCGGCCGCGGCGCTTGCGCCGGAGAGGGCGGCGCTTGCCTCCTCGAACGCCTCAGATAGCTGCGGCGGCGACACACGCACAACGCGTGCCGGCATAGTTGGGGAGCAGCAATGCAGCAACCCGGATTAATTTCACTTGTCTTCTTGTCCCTCTTTGAAAGCGCAGCAAGGAATTTGCATGTTACTAGCAACACATGCAACCCTTGGGCCGCGCGTCCGTCAGAAAGCCGCTCGAACCTGCGCCGCGCACGCCGTCAGGGACGCCGCATCTGCCTTTGACACCTCCAGGCCGTCCACCCGCCCGGCCAGCTCCCGCAGCCGCGCGTCCCCGGACTCGTGGACTGCCGTCACGCGCCGCTCGAGCTCGTCGGACTGCGCCGCGGCGCTGCGCGCGACGGACTGCATGATACGGCCGTCGACAGCCGCGGAGAGCGCTGCGCGAGGCCGGGGGCGCAGGGCGCGGGGCAGCGCGGTGGGCGCGTGCGCTTGAGCGCCATTTACAGTATTGCACAACGACATGCGGTGCTTGGTGGGAGTACCCGTCAATGGTCGCGACTGACGCTTTAACTCACGTGCGCGCTCTACAGCTGACCTCGATTGCATCCCCAAAACTCCCCCCCCCTGCCCTGCTCCCCTGCCGCACTCACCTTCAACCCGCTGCGCACCGCGTGCCTCGGCTTCGGCGACGCGCGACCCCAGCGCAGCGTCTGAGTCGCGCCGCATGGCCGTCGCGGTGAGCGTGATGGCCTGCACCCACACGTGGCAGCAGCAGCGCGCGCCGCGGTCGCCATCATCCAGAGCCGCGCCCGCCATTGGACTCGGCTATTAAGGCTCTGCAGCCCATGCAACGCCTGCAGACGTGCCTACAGCTACCGCTTTCCAGCACTGACTCTGGAATACACGTCGCCCAGAGCTACCGCGGCTGCATCCCGCCGCCACCCCGCGCACCTGCTTGGTGTCTTCTCTGATGCTGTCCAGCTGCTCCGCAACACGCGCCTCCAGCCGCCGCAGCTTCCCCGCCAGCGACGCGCGCACCTCTTCCTGCGACAGGGCGTCAAGTAAGCACCTGAGAGCTTTGCTCGCAGCCGCCGGTTGAATTATAACTTAAACGTACAGACGCAAGTGAGGCTGCCCATTTCCTTACAGACAGCCAAAGGGGTGGGAGCCGCTGCTTGCTGGCTTGTAATTTGCTTGGAGCGGCACCATGGGAACGCTCCTAGAGTCCCAACTCCTATGGTCTTGAGGCCCACGGGGATTCACCGTCTGTGGGGGCTCGCGCGCCCGCCCACCTCTCGCTGCTTGGCCTCCTTCTCAGACTGCGGGATCAGATCCTCCAGCCGCCCGACGCGTTCGACCAGGCCTCCGCCGCCGCCGCCGCCGCCGCCGCCCTGCATGCCGCTGCCTGGCCCCTGCTCCTGCTCCAATGGTGGCACCCTCCACGCCGCGTCATTGCCATCGGCGCCACCGCTGCGATTGAACAACTGCGCCTCGAGGGCCACCACCCGCTGCGCCGCCGCTGCCGCCGCCGCCTGCTGCTGCTTGCTGTGTGCTGCCAAAACGGCGTGCTGAGCCTCGAGAGTCGCTACTGAGTCTTGCACCTGCGCGCATCCGCACACAGCTGAATTGGACAGCTTTGCTAATGGGGTAGCGCCTGCGACTGCAACAACCCCGATGCCTGCAATCCCCGCCTTGTCCGCTCTGCAGTCCCTTCGAGGCCGCACCTGCGACAGCTGGCGCCGCAGCCGCTCCGCGCGCGCGTCTTCGGCCTCTTGCTCCTCCATCCGTGCTCGCAGCGCCGCTTCGGCGGCGTCAGGCTGTGCTGCCACGATCTCTTCAAGGCGGCCGATGCGGTCCGCCTGCTCCTGCAGTAACCGCAGCACGGGCGCCAGGCTGGCAGCAAGGCTGGGGACCCTGCTGGTGTGCATGCGAGCGTGCATGGGTGCAAGCCGTGCCGCAGGGATTTGTAGCGGTACACCATCAGCATGCACGCTGCGGCCAACGCCCCGCACCTGTCGGCGCTGCCACGCTGCAATGCAGCTATCACATCCTCCATGATAGTTTTTACGCTGTACTTTCGGACATAGTTCGCCTAGCAGACTTTGAATCAACCTGCCTCACAATTCGGACCTGAGGGATAAGGCACCAAAAATGGCCGCTTTCACAACAGTGAGTACTCTGATCACGATGTATAATGTGGAGGACACCGAGGTCAGATCGATGGTGATGATCACTTGACAAGTGGCTGTGGGCTCAGCTTGCGAACCGCACGAAGAGGCCGTGCAATTCGTAGCTGCGGGTCTGCATTGGAACGCGGGCTTCGGCGATGCTTGTTGCCTCTCTGCAGTCAACTTGTGTTTGACCGCCTTACAAGACACGCTCAAACACGTACAACGGTGCCCGCGTAAGTTCTTGCTGCTGTAGCCCCCCGTGCTGATGCCCAGCATCTGCTTGCTGCTGCTTCGTTTCATCCAGTGACAGCTGGCCAAGCGCCTCGCCCTCTGCACCCAATGCATCCAATGCATCGAGAGCGATCGCACCGCCTTTCTGCCCCCTTCTCCGCCGCCCCACAGCCCGCGCTGCCGCAGCCGCCGCCACCGCGCCCTCCAGCGCGCCGCCGTCGGCGTCAGTCGCGCCCACAGGCGCTGCCGCCCCCAATCCGGACGCACGCGGCGGCGCCAGGGGCCGGAGCCGATCCGACAATACCGCCTCGCCAGCCGCCGCCACGCGCAGGCCGTCGCCGCTGACGGCGACCGCCAGCAGCCGGCCCTCGTAACCGCCAGGCATGGGCAGCTCCCACGGTTCGTCCTCCACAATCCCAGCGCCTGCGGGGATGGGAGCATGCTGAGGCTTCCGAGCTCACCTCCAATCAATTGCACGTCACACCCCGGCGCCTGCACCAGCGGTCTGAGGGTGCCTTTGTGCAGCTGCATTCACGCCCCCTTGCTGCACTGGCCCAAAGCCCCAACGCACCTGCCTGTCCCATGTCGTACAGTCGCAGGGCGCCGTCAGCGCCCACCACCGCCAGTTGCTCCTCTTCGCACCCAAACGTGCCTGCCGCCAGCCAGGCGCACGAGAAGACCGGGCCAGCGAGCTGCTGCCGCGCCACGACCCGCGGCCCTGATGGCGCTGCCGTTCCTGCCGCGTCTGCTCTTGAGGGGTTGCCCACGTCAATGACGGCGAGCTCGGCCCCTTTTGACAGCGCTGCCAGGAGGTGCGGCCGGCCGGGGCTGAACGCGCACGCGCTGCCCATGCCTCCAACGTGCGCCTGCGCCCGTTCCGAGTTGCAGGGACGCGTTAGGATCGTGGGAATGCCAGCAATAGCGGCTGTGCATAACTTGCGTGTCTGCATACATCCCTGGATTGCAGCACAGTGTGTTGTGACCAGGTGGGCTGCTAGGCCTGGCAAGCAGCTGTGTGCGATTCTAAACAGGTCGTTTGCAGCCAGGCCGCGGGCACCCTGCTGACCTCGATTTCTCCAGCAAACAAGAGGTGTGAAGCCCCCAGCCGCCAGAGCCGCACGGCACCGTCGCAGCACGCCGTCGCCAGAAGCCCGGTCGTGCCCCCTGCGCGTGCTGGCTGCGCCGCCAACGCGAACACGTAGGGCGGGAAGCCCTCCTCTTTCGTGACCGCTGCCTGTCCCCCCACGTCGTCGCTACCATCCCCTGCAGTGTCAGGCCCCGCGTGCGTGCCTGCGCTGCCTCCTAGGCTGCCATTGCCCCCACTAGGCCCGCCCCCGCCCTCCGCGCTGCTGCTGCTGCTGCCGCCGCTGCGTCGAGGCGGCATGGCCTCATGCACCATGCGCCCTACCGACAGGTCCCATAGAAACAGGGACTCCCCGCTACCCGCCACAAGCCACTCGGAGCTGCAGCCGCCGGGGACCTCTGTGCTGCTGTGCCCGTTCCTGCCGCTGCCGCTGCTGCAGCCAGGCCCGGAGGTGCCGCCTCGTGCGAAGAAGTGGAGGGCATACACCTCTTCGGGGTGGCCCCGAAACGTGGCAAGCTCGTCGCTGCTGTATGTCCCTGCGCAAGCGCTTTCGCCGCCGCCGCTGCTGCCGGTGGCGCTGGGATTGTCCCAGCGCCAAAGCTTGACTGTGCCGTCAGCGCCGCCTCAAGGGGGGGGGATGAGGGAGTCCGCCGCACACAAGACTTATGAAGCTTGAGCACATGGCAGCAGGCAGAGGAAAGGGACGTGTCCTTCAAAGCCACTGAAGGCCTAGGGTTCTGCTAATATCAGCCTCTGGGCTTTGTTTCCTTCCCCCGTGTGCTGTACTGTACTATCAGCTGTACTCACCAGTGGCAAGCCTGCTGCCGTCTGCGCTCCACGCCACCCGCAGCACCTCTGATTTGTGGCCAGAGCAGCACGCTACCTGCGCAGCAATAGCGCGGAGTCTTAGCGGGGACGATTGCCATGGGAGTAGGTATCTGACTGTGTTGTTCACAGCAACAGTTGCGGCAGAGCAGCAGCGCAGCGGCGCATGTCGCAGATAGGACCAGTGGCTAAGCTTGTACGCACCTGCTCCCAATCCCCAGATCTAGATAGGTATCTCCATACCCTAGCGCTTCCGTCCTCCGAGCACGACGCTAACAGGTTTGGATCCTTTGGGTGGAAGGCTAGATCAAAGACGCGGGAGCCATGCCCGTAGGCCCCAGTTGCTTCAATCTCTATATCCATGGCGATATTAGACGAATAATTGTGATCTGTGTGGGTCACGGCGCTCATAAATAGGGCTGGTGTGTGTGTCACTCCACCTGAGCCTGCTGCAACGGCATTGTCCGCTTCATTGTCCCGTTACGACCTACGTGCTTGACCGATTGGTAAAAATACATATCACCATCACAGAAAATGGCGTCTGCAATGCGCTCACAGCTCTCCCGCCCCGCCCGGGCTCCTGCCCTGCCCTTCACGCCCATTCCGAGCGTGCCAAGAGCCAGCGGTGTAGCACATTGCGCCAGGCAGCAAGCAAATCGATGCGTGCTGGTGGCTGCCGCCCCGACCGTGACAGCTCGGCCGATCACCCCCTGCGCTCGGAAGCAGCACAGGCGCGCCGTTTTGCGCCCGCTGGCATCCAAGTCGGCCGACGCGCCCGCCGCCGCCGAGCTGCCCGACGGCAGCGTCTCCGTCGTGCTGCTCGCCGGCGGCGTCGGCAAGCGCATGGGTGCGGCGATCCCGAAGCAGTACCTCGAGCTCGCGGGGCAGCCCATCGCCACCTACAGCCTGGAGACGTTTGCGGCCATGCGCGAGGTCGGGGAGATCGTCATAGTCTGCGACCCCTCCTGGCGCTACATATTTGAGGAGCGCTTCCCGAGCCTCGCGCGCCCTGTGCCCGTGAAGTGGGCGCTGCCCGGCGCAGAGCGCCAGGACAGCGTCAGCAACGGCCTGGCCGAGGTGTCTGACTCAGCGCAGATCGTCGCGGTGCACGACTCGGCGCGGCCGCTGGTGTCGCCCGCCGACTCGGCGCGCTGCATGCGCGACGGCGTGGCGGTCGGCGCGGCGGTGCTCGGCGTGCCCGTCAAGCCGACCATCAAGGAGGTGGACAAGAACAACAACGTCGTCAAGACGCTCGTCCGCGCGGCGCTGTGGGAGGTGCAGACGCCGCAGTGCATCCGGCCGGCGCTGCTGCGGGAGGGGTTCCAGCTCGTCAAGGAGAAGGGCTTGGAGGTCACCGATGACGTGTCCATCATCGAGGCGATGGGCCTGCCCGTCAAGGTGACGCCCGGGAGTTACACCAACATCAAGGTGACCACGCCCGACGACATGAGCGTCGCCGTGGGGTTCCTGGATGAGCTGCGGGAGCAGCGGCGGGCGGCGGCGGAGGCGGACAAGCAGCGGCAGGCGGCGGCGGCGGCGCCGGCGGCCGCGACGGCGGCATAGGCAGGTTGCCATGGATTTTTTTTGCAAGCGTGAAAACAAAAGCATGTCGCTGGGCACTCGTTTTGTTTGGTCGGGTTTTGTATTTCAGCAGGTTGACAAACTTCTACATCAAGTGCTCCCTCTCGGTATCTGCCATCTTGCTGAGTGGCGTTTCTGGCGCTCAAGTATGCACTTCCTTAGCCTTGACTCTTCACACTTGACCATCAACTGAGAGCATGTCCTTCACAAGTAAATCCCCTGCAGAGGCTATGAGTACGCTATGGGCGTCACATTGGGATGCATGGCTGTGGCATGGTGTGTTTTCCTCCTCATAGCTGATGAGGCGGCTGCAGCAGCAATATTTGGTCATCTTATTAACCTCCGCACATCATCAAGTGCAAGGTGCATACCACGAGAGCTTGCAATCACAGCTGTGCCTTGCCCGGGGCAGTTGTCCAACTGACACTGTGAACAGTTGGCACATTGCTGGGTCCCCTGGCAGCATGCAGATGCGATATTTACGATGTGAAAACAAAGTGGCCTGCACTCGCTGGCCCCGCACAAGCAGGCATGCAGCATTGAAGGCGCCAAATTTTCAAACGTGGCAAGCGGCGTGTGGGAAGGCGTCGCGAGAAGGCCGTTTGGCCCGTGCGCGCAATGCTGCTGTGACGCACATTGCATAAACATACAGAAATACCCCTTGGCTGCTGCGCCTTTTCTGATTTACGCTACTCTGCCCTTGTCTCGAGGCACAACACCGTTCGAACGATCTCGGGCGCTCAGCGCCTCAGCGCTGCAGCCATGGACGAGATGGAGATGCGCAAGCGCATCTTTGCCATCATGACCGACACGACGCTCACGGAGGCCGAAAAGGCCGTGAAGCGTCAGGAGCTCATGTGCGGCAAGTGGATGCAGCCAAAGGAGGCCAACAGCCATGACTCCGGCCCTGGAGATGGTGAGCTGCCGCTCAGGACAGCTGTACAGAGCTGCATGTGCGGTAGTGATCTGAAGCGCTGCCCGCCACCTTGCAGCCGACAACAAGCGCAAGGGTAAGGTGGCGGAGACGAAGGAGGAGGAGGCTACGGTCCTGGATGACGCTCTGAAATGCGCCATCTGCTTCAACCTGTGCGAGAGGCCGATCACGGTGCGCGGGAGAACGACTTGCGGCTTTGTCAGGTGTCCTTGTACCGTCGTGAAGGCATACAGATACCTGAAGGACTACATTATAGCCTGGGATCCCCATCGTGCGGCCCACGGCGGCGCGCAGCATTCGATGTCGCCTCCAGTGCACTATGACCATCGTCCAGCTGCAGCCATGGGTTGAATGCAGCGGGCCCCCATCGCACATCTCAGCCCACATCACCTCGCCAACCCTCGCACACAGGGACCCTGCCAGCACAACTTCTGCCTGGCCTGCTTCAAGCGCTGGTGTGCGCAGGGCAAGAAGACATGCCCGACTTGCCGCACAGGATTCTCCTCAAAGTTTGCGGAGAACCCCCGCATCAACACCGTGCTTACCATGGTGCGTGTGGAATGTAGGGGTGCGCCACTAGGCGCTCATGCATGCGGATGGGCGCGCATTGGTAGGTGGCATGAGGCGCTGCGGAGCTGCGGCGCGCTCCATACGATTGCGCCCTTTCCAGGCACCCAACCCTTCGCCGCCGCACGCTGCCGCTGCCCCGCGCCCTGCAGGCAATCCGCCTGGCCAAGCAGGGGGTGCGCAAGGAGTCCACCAAGAACTACGAGCGGATCAACAACGCGGACAGGTGAGCCACGTTTGAGCATGCATGTTGCGCAGCGGCCCCTTGCATGCAGCCGTGTTTCTCGCCATCCGGTCTGCGCTCGCCTCCCTGCCCTCACCAGCCGGCCCTCCGTCGACCGCTGGCCTCGCTCGCCCTCAGGCCGGACGAGGCGTTCACCACGGACCGCGCGCAGCGCTCAGGGCGCGCCAACGCGGCATCCGGGCGGATCATGGTGACTGTGCCCAACGACCACTTCGGGCCGATCCTGCCTGAGCACGACCCCGAGAACGGCAAGGTTCGCCCTCGAGCCGCGGAAGCGCGTACATGAGCCGGCTGAAGCCGGGCGCGAGAGCCAGGCGGCTTGCGGTGCAGGCAAAGCTTGAGGCGCTGCAAGTATGCATGAACAGCTGCAGCCCGTGTCCTCTTAACAGACGTTTGGAAGGCAGCAGCAGCAGCAGCAACAGCAGCTTTTCCGACTAGGCGCTGCGCCTCTGCAGTCGCGGCGAGCCCCTTGTCAAGCATCTGTGCCCAGCACCCCGCTTGACCTGCCCCGCGCAGGGTGTGGTGGTGGGCGACTGGTGGAAGGACCGACTGGACTGCCGCCAGTGGGGCGCCCACTTCCCGCACGTTGCGGGCATCGCGGGGCAGTCAAACGTCGGCGCACAGGTGATGCCCGGGGCGGCCGGGTCAGCCAGCCTGCACCTGACCCGCCCCACTCGCTGCACCTCAGCCGTCTCATCCGAGGCTGCCTTGGGCTTCTTGTCAGACCCGCCCTGTTTCAAGTGTGGCGACCAAAGCAATGCTCACGCATTCGATCGCACTGCCGCAGTCGGTGGTGCTGAGCGGCGGCTACGAGGACGACCGCGACGAGGGCGAGTGGTTCCTCTACACCGGCAGCGGCGGCCGCGACCTGAGCGGCAACAAGCGCACCAACAAGGTGCGTGGTTGGGGTTGGGGTCGGATTGAAGGACGCGAAGGTTTGGGAGTTGATGCAGTCCTTAGTGATTGAAAGGGGTGTCTGTTGGCATGTTTGGCCTCAACTCCACCCTGGCAAAAAGCACTGCAGCTATTGCGATCGGTTGTTTTGCGGCAGCCCTGGCGCCAATTGCACAAGGATTGATCGGCGCCCCTCAGGGTCTGCCCCGCCTGACCTCCTTCAAGATGCTACACAATGGTCTGGCGGTGCCTGCCTTTATCTGCTCACTCACATCAGCACAAATGCTTGCTACCCTGGTCAAACTGTCCCTGAATCACAGGAGCAGTCGTTTGATCAGGAGTTCACCCTGATGAACGAGGCGCTGCGCATCAGCTGCATCAAGGGCTACCCCGTGCGGGTCGTGCGCAGGTGCGGCGACCAGGCACGGCCAGACAGGACCAGGGCAGCCAGAGCGGCCGCAGCGCAGGCTTGAGCCTCTGCAGCGGTCGTGGCTGCAGCAGTTGGACAAAGTGCGGGGCACCCCTCCCCTGTTTACGCAGGCTGCGTACAATCGCTGTCTGAAGCCCCACCCACCTTGGACACACTCTTATACGCAAACATGCATGCACGTGGACGCGTGCTCCCACCCATCCGGCCGCAGCTTCAAGGAGAAGCGCTCCAACTACGCGCCGCCCACGGAGACGCCGGTGCGCTACGACGGGATCTACCGCATCCTGCGCTGCTGGCGCAAGAAGGGCAACCAGAACTACCTCATGTGCAGGTGAGTTTGTTCATGTGTGTGTGTGTGTGTGTGTGCTTGCATGTGATTGTGTGTGTCTATGTGTGTATGTGTGTGATTGTGCATATGTGTGCGCGTGCGTGCTTGAGGCCAGAGCTCTGTGTGGGTTGCAATCAGCCCTGCATGACCAGCAGGTTTGTTTGCAGATCTCACCCAACCTGGCGGCCAATGTGGCGCCGCAAGCGGCGGCGCCCTGGACCTTGATGCAGCCAAGGCAAGTACAGTACGTGTCTTGTCCTGAATGAAAACGCCCGGTCATCGTCGCTTGTCGGACCAGGTACCTTTTTGTGCGCTGCGACAACAGCCCGGCGCCTTGGAGCGTCGAGGACGCGGGCGACGCGCTGCGCATGGAGGTGCCCGCGGTGGCGCAAGAGGAGATCGACAACGCCGTGGGCAAGGTGCACACGATGGGCGACAGCCCCTCATGGTGAGGCCCGGGGCTGGCTCGCATGGGAAGGACGGGCGCGCGCCGTCCGCGCCGTTGGGGCCGTGTGGGAGGAGGGACAGGGCGCGCTCGCAGGCGCTGCGCGCCTGCGCGTGGTCGCGATAGGGAGCAGAAGCCGCGGGCATATTGATTGCGTTGTGGTAGCGTGCTCACCGCCCTAAACACACGCTTTTTGTGAATCCTGTCTCCCCCAGGAACTACGATCCGGTGACATCAGAGTGGGCATGGGCCAAGCCGCCGCCGCCGAGCCAGAAGAGCGGGGAGAGGGGCGACGCGGTCAAGAAGCTGCGCAAGAAGGTGGGCCGACCGGGCGCGGCGACAAGGGGCGCGTCACCGTGCCGCTGGACAGCGGGCGGCTTTGCAGCCTTGGCCTTTCCAGGAGCCACACACGCGTTGGCACGTGTGGCGCCCCAAAATACCCGTCTAGGCCAGCCCGTCAAGGCTGACATGCTTCCGCACAATACCCTGCTGTCCCCGTCATTGCTGTGCCCCGTCGCCCGCAGCACTCAGCTCCCCGCAGCACTCAGCTCCCCGCAGCACTCAGCTCCCCGCAGCACTCAGCTCCCCTATGTCCCCGCCGCCGCAGGTGTCGGAGCACGAGCGGCTGCTCAAGGACTTTGGCTGCGGCCTCTGCAAGAAGGTGCGGCGCCCCCAATACGATTGCTCAAGCGGCGTGCCCGGCTTGCCTGCACCTGTCGCCAAAACCAAGGCCCCTCGACTCAAGCCGCAACCCCTTTCCCCAAATGCAAAGTACGCGTCACCTGCTGCCGTGCAACTGAACCCACCACTTGCAGGTGCTCCACGAGCCGCTGTCCATGCCCTGCGGCCACAACTTCTGCAAGGGCTGCCTCGACGCCCGCTTTGCCGGCACGGCCACCAGCGTGGTCGGCGGCTCGGGCTTCAAGACGCTCCGCGCGCGCAAGGTGCGGGCGCTTTCCTGGGTGGGCATCCTTTTGTGATATGATTTGTGACGCCTGGGCTGCGCCGGCCGTTGTGCGCCGGCTCTCCTGCAATCGCCATGGGGCAGTCGCTCACCCATGCAAAAACGCGTGCTTCCAGGTGCCCAAGCCGTGCCCCACCTGCAAGATGGAAGTCGGGGACTTCCTCAGCGGCGCCGCCGTCAACAGGGAAATGCAGCAGGTGGGCCAGGGTGCATGCCAAGCACGCCTGACCCTGCGTCGCGCATTTTCTAGTTGCCAGCCGCCTTGCGTGTGTGCGGACACCAGCTGGGTGGAGGCCTGGCGCACCGCTTCCGCACACAAATCTATCTCTCTCCTCGCCCTGGACTTTGGCCCCTCCCCAGCCGCTCTTCACACACACACATACACACACACATCATCCATGTCATGTCAAAGCCCCTTTGCACACCCACAACTAATTCTGGCACGCATATCACTCATGCATCACTCACGTCGCACGCAGGTCATCGAGAAGCTGAAGCAGGCGGCCGACGAGGCCCGCGCCGCCGCCGAGGAGATGGCCAGCTCCAAGAAAGCGGAGGACGGCGGCGACGACGAGGCGGCCGCGGAGGACGAGGCGGGGGACGCGGGCGAGGACGGGCAGGAGGAGGAGGAGGGGCCCGACGGCGTGCCGGAGGAGGGGGAGGGCAGCGCGGGCCCGAGCACGTCCGCGCCGCCGGCCAAGCGGCAGCGCAAGGCGGCGCCGGCGGCGAAGAAGGGCGCGGGCGAGGCCGCGCCCGCGCCCGCGGCGGCCGAGGCCGAGGCCGAGGCCGAGCAGCCGTCCACCGCCAAGGCGGAGGCGCCACAGCAGCAGCCCGCCGCGCCCGCGCCCGAGCCGGCGCCCGCCGCGGCGCCCGCGGCGCCGTCCGAGCCCGTGCAGCGGTACGCGGTCGAGCTGGCGGCGCTGCAGGAGAGCTTCCCTGACTTTGACGCGGGCCTGATCGTGGCGATGCTGGAGGACCAGGGCGGCGACCAGGTGGAGGTCGCTGCTTACTTGAAGGTGCGGCGGCTTGGTCGCGTGGGGAGTCTCATGTCAGGGGCGAGCGTGTAAAAGGCAGCAGAGGCGAGAGCCTCAGATTGCTTCTGCACGGCGCGTGCCTGGCATGCAGAGCGTGCGCCAGCGGCCTATTGAATTTGAACTTTTCAACGCAGGCAGAGGTGCTGGTCCCTGTTTCGACTCCCTCTGGCTTCCCCGCCCGCCCCTCGCCTCGGCGTTGCGCAGCGCATGAAGAACCAGGCTTCGCACGGCAGCCGCCGCCCCAAGGCCTCCCCCGCAAAGGGCGGCGCCGCCAAGAAGGCGGCGGCCGGCAAGCGCGGCCGCGGCGGCGGAAAGAAGAAGGCAGCCGCCGCCGCGGAGCCTGAGAGCGAGGAGGAGCGGGGCGCGGAGGAGGAGCAGCAGCAGGGGGGCAAGGAGGCGCAGCAGCAGGAGCCCGAGCCGGCGGCGGCTGAGGGCGAGGACGGGGGTGAGGAGGAGGTGGCGACAAAGGATGACGAGGACGATTTTGAGCCGCCCAAGAAGAAGCGCGCGACCAAGGCAGCTAAGAGCAAGGCGAACGGTGAGGCTGCGAGCTAGGGCGGCAGCAGGGGGGAGCAACTTCGAGGGGGGACCGCAACCGCAGATGCTCTGCTGGCGTGTGTGTATGTGGTGCCCGGTGTGAACGTCCTGGTGGGGCATGCTATGGCGGCTTGAAAAGCAATCCCCGTCAGCTCATTTGTTCGGCCTGCTATCGTTGCCATTGTCGCAGGCGTCAGCAGCTGAGTGGCGAGCGCCGTGGTGCTGCAGCCACGTGACGGGTTCTGGCCGGCACAGTTGTGCATATGTATGGTTGAATATCAGGGCTTGGGCTGTAGGCACAGTGACTTGACTTCTACGGGTGCAGTGCTATGTGTAAAAATTGGCCACCATGCTTCCTGGGGGTCGCCATTCATGTCAGAAAATGCTCAGTGTTTTGTCATGCAGGAGTGGTGGCTGCGGGCAGTTGAGCCACCCCATACAGCAGGCAATGCTATCCAAAGCTAGAGGCTTGGGTGAAAGACATCATACCTTCGGGTTGCAAGGGCGCGAGCTGGGGGTGAGTCGACCACCCCGATGACCAGTCCGGCAATCAAAGGCTTCCCCCCGGCAGAGCCCGCGCCACACGCTCCCTATACGCACAACTCATTTCACGCTCCCCCCATCCGCCTGCACACGCTCATCACACGCGTAGCTTCGCCCACTTTCCGCGGCCCAGCGGCCTCCGCACCCACCTGGTCAGAGCCCTGCCATGTCGGCCACACTGGAGGAGCAGGCTGTAACTGTGCCCCACCATCAGGTAAGTGGCTTACCTTGAGGGCGCCCCCACGGGAGCGATCTGAGAAAGGGCGTCAGGCTGACAGCCTCGCCTTGATGATGCCACAGGAACTGGAGCTTGAGCAGCACAACGTAGGTGACACTGCCCATGCGCCGGAGGCTAACAATGAGGAGCAGGAGGAGGAGGAGGGCGTCGGCGCTGCGGCGTCCGACGCTGTGGCCAACCTGAGTGGCACAGGCGACGCCCCGTCGGGCGGGCAGCAAGTGGTGCGGCTCCCAAGGCGATGTTGCCGTATCAATAGCCTGGGGCGCTGTCCTGCTATGATCCCTTGTGACGCGCCTGTTGCTGTGCCACGGCGCCAGGTGGCGCCGCGTCCCCACACCAGTCGCCTGGCCCATCGGCGGCCTCACTCCCCTCGCCACACTCACGATTTTGGCGTGCGCCGACTTGCAGGTGGCCAAGCTCCTCATATCCAACGCGGCGGCCGGCTCCGTCATTGGCAAGGTGCGGGGCCGCAGCCGCGAGGCGCTCTCCGCCGCCGCCGCCGCGGAATTCTTGCCAGCCGCAGGGCCCGCGGCCCCTGCGTTCGCAGCCCCTGCCCCCCGGGCGCCCCCTATTTGACGCCCGCCGCTCGTACGTCCCAAACCGCGCGCGCCGCACCACTACAGGCGGGGCAGACGATTGAGCAGATACAGAAAAACTCGGGGGCGCGCGTGCAGCTTTCCAGGGCTGGCGAGTTTTACCCGAGTGAGTGGGGAGCACTCACTGGGCTGAACGGAGAAACAACAAGTTCATGTAATGTGAACCGAAGCAAGCATGTCTGCGTTATTCGTGACCACGGCCACCTCTTGGCACAAGCCGCCGCCACGTCCACGCCAGCGCCGCGCGCCGTCCCTGCAGAGCCCCTGACCGGTCGCGCCCTGCGCGCCCGCCCCGCCGAGCAGGCACCTCCGAGCGCGTGCTGCTGCTGTCCGGGCCGCTGCACTCTGTCCTCACGGCCATATTCCTCATGCTGGAGAAGCTGCCGCGGGAGCCGACCAGCCCAGTATCGCGCAGCGGCGGCAGCAGCGGCCGGGGGCGGGAGGACCAGGTGCGGCACAGCCCGCGCCCCGCGCCTGAGGCAGAGGGCCGGCACTCACACCGCGCGTGGCGCACTGCCCCACGGTGTTGCCGCACTGCCCCACGCTCAGAACGCGCTTTACTGCAGCCCCGCACCCACCGCCGTGCGGCCGGCCCTGTCCGCCTCTTCAGCCTGCCGGCTTGCGCAAGCGCCAAGCATCATTTTTGCCCGCCACTCTGCGGCGGACAGGTCAAGATGGCGGTTTCGCGGAAGCTGTGCGGTGCGGTGATTGGCCAGAAGGGTCAGACCATCCGCGACTTTATGCAGGACAGCGGCGCGACCATCCGGGTGCAGGTGGGTGCATGCTGATGTGTCCTTGTGTGTCCTTGTGTGTGCATGTGAGTGTGTGTGTGTGTGTGTGTGTGTGTCCCCAGATATTCAATGCAAGACAGCAGTGCGGCCACGCGCATGCTGCCAGGGAGGCAGCCGCAACGATGCCAAGGGCGAGCTGCCCCCAGTCAGCTGCGGGCACCCATGAACCTGACTCAAATGCTGCGCCCTGGCAAGCGCTTGGAGCGATAGCACGCCTCCCAATCGGCATGCCCCCCTGACCGGCTCTCATTCGGCCCTGCCTGTCCTGCCCATCGCGCTCGCACCCCCAGCCCCTGAGCGAGCTCACCCCCAGCGACAGCGAGCGCATCATCTCCGTGCTGGGCAGCCGCGACCGCGTGCTGCGCGCCGTCGCGCTCATCCTCAACACGGTGGGCCGCCGGGGGCGCGGACCTGCGGGCATTAGTTGGCAGCGGGGCGTTTGAGGCGCGCATGGGCGCGCGTTCCGCGGCGTATCCGCCTGCAGCGGATGTCGGGTGCCGCCTCGTCGCCTGCAGCGGTCGTATGACGCCCGCCGCACGCATCACTCACATCCGAAGCTTCCCGCCGTCGGGTTTCGAGTTTTGTACGCAGCTGTCGGCGGACGACAAGTTCAACGCCTACATGGACCTGACGCTGCAGCTGGCCTCGACACAGGTGAGCCTGACAACTGGGCGTGGCGCTGCCTCGCGCGGGCACGAGCGGCCCGATCTTGCAAGGCCGAGCGATGGGGGTCGTGCAGGGGGCCAGTTGTGATAGCAAGGACCGGGCCTGCATTGCTTCCCTGGAACTTGGCGGCTTTTGCTGCACTCAGATCCACAAACACACACACAAACACACACACACACACACACACACACACACACACAAACCGCCCCCCAGGGCCTCATCCCGGCGGTGCGCGCGAGCACCGGCAAGAGCACGCTGTCCAACGCGCGCGCTGTGCTGACCATGGCGCTGCTGGACGAGGATGTGGGCGCCATCCTGGGCAAGAAGGGGCAGACGCTGACTCAGATCCAGCAGGTGTGCACGCGCGCAAAGTGTGCTGCGCAGCGCAGGCGGCGCCGAGGGACCTTGGGCGGGGGTCCCGGGGCGGGAAGGTGGTCGGTGCGTGCGGCGCGGCGGCGGGAGATGGCGGGGTAGTGTCGGGGCGTGCTGTGCGGCGCGCACCGGCATGATTTGGCAGTGCTTCACTAGTGCGCATCTCCAAGAATGGCTGAGGGCGTGTGTCGTACGCTTCCTGGCCCTCCCACTTCCAAGCAGCCCCTCTCGCACGTGCTTCCAGCCCTTACAGCTGACAGCCCCTTTCCTACAACACTGACTCCCCCCACATGCAACCGCCACCCTGCAATGCGGCGCAACAGAACGCCAAGGTGGCCATCAAGATTTCAGACCGCTCGAAAATGGACCCCCACACCCACGAGCGCGAGGTCACCCTCAGCGGCAGCTATGCCGGCATCCAGCTGGCGTGCGCGATGATCAGCGAGAAGCTCTCGGCGAACAAGCCGCGCCTGAGCGGCACCAACGGCGACGGCGACGACGACGTGCTGCTTGACGAGCACGGCATGTTCTTGTGATCTGAGATCTGAATGATCTGAGATCACGACGAGTCGAGGTTGCCGCGGGGCCCCGAGATCGCGGGCTGCGAGGCCTGTGACCGAGGGGCGCAGGAAGCCGTGCGACCCAGCGCCGTCGGCGGCGTGGCAGGGCCCCCTGTCATGCGACGGCTTGGGTGCCGCCAGCGGCCGGCCGCCATGGCTACCAGAGCGGCAGCCGAGCCCTACACAAGGTGTCGCCGCGCTGCTTCGAAATTTGTCCCTACCCAGTCTTGTCGCAACTCTCTGTCCTAAACGCTTCCCCGCGGCCGGGGCGCCTCTGCGGGCCGCCCTCCAGCCGCGCCCGTGCGCGAGGTGCCCGCGGCCACCTCGCACGCGGGGCGCGCTCCAGCCGCCCGATCGCCAGCAAGCCGCGCCTTCCGCCAGCCGGCCCGCGCGCCGCCGGAAGCCGCCCCCCGACCACGACCCTCACACGGCCGCACGGCCCGGAATGCATAGCCCGCCCGCCCAGCGGGCGCCCTTTCATGCTGCCCCGCGCATTGCTTATGGGGCTTCTCTGTCGCGTCCGCCTGCTTGGCACGCTTGGCTTCGGGTTCTCCTGGGCTCCGCCCTTACTCACCCACAGGGTCAAACGCCATCCGCCGTCTCGCCGCCGTGGGACTGCGCCGAGCCTCCCGCTTCCAGGGGGCACACCGTCCGCCGCCCGAGCCGTGGGGTTGTGGAGCTGGCGGGTGGCGGCTCGCTTGGGTGCGTGTGGAAATCAATGAGCCCCACCTTGCGTCTCTCGAGCCAGCACGCACGAGCATCATCCAAAGTCTGAACTGCCACATGAGGCTGGGCGTGCTTGTGACGCCGCGCGACCGGCGCCTGCGGCAACGGGCCGCCTTGCCTTCTTGCAACAAGCACCTGTGCCTTCCTTGCGGATTGGGATTGTAAATAGCTCTGTTTGAGCATGCATTCCATCTTATAATGGGGGATTACACATTTGGACCTGATGAATGAAGGTGGACGGCAGCAAGGTGCACACGTCACCAGGCGTCAGGCAGGGCATGGGGAACTGGACGCTCTGGAGCAGTCAAGGGTCCTCGCTCTGTGGATTGACACTCGGAACGCCTATACAGCATACTTCGAGGGTCACAACGGTCGAAAGGCAAAGGAGCCCTGCAATTTGAACAGTCGTGCAGATCTGACGGGTCGTACTGTCAACTTTGCTGCCGCCGCTTGAGATCATATTTAGTGCATCCTGGACAGATTTCATAGAGGAATACTTCGCCAAGCGCCTGTCTACCGCGATCTGAAGCTGAATCAAATAAATTCTCACACCATCCACCCTTGCAAAGTGCTGTGCAAGGCATAGGTGGCAACGCGTACAAACAAACGGGCGCGATGAGCGCAGCGGCTCATTATGCGGAGCTCTCGCGCGCCGTCACCGACCTGCGCGAACGGGGCCTGCAGCAGTCGGCGAAGTGGGCTGCCGAAATGCTATGCGGCCTTCCGGCGGACGCCGCAACGGGCGCGGCCGATGCGCTCGCAGCAGACGCAGCGGCCTCAGCACGGGCACCAGACCCCCCGGCACTGCTGCTGGCACGCGCGTGCTTTGCGGACCGGGTGAGTTCGAGCCGCGTGCTTCCGTTGAAGTACGTGCACCTTGGCGGCACGGCCCGTGCAACCAAGCTTGGCCTTGTTTTGTGCTTTCTTGCGCATGGCAGCAGGCAGCTCGCATGCTGCATCAGCGTGTCCATGCAGACGAGCACCGCGCACGCGCCTGCAGGATGCCATCAACGTGTCTCTCAACACGCATCCCTGACATACACAAGTACACACACACACACACACACACACACACACACACACACACATACAAACACTATTATGCACACAGCTTCACGCATGAAGAGACCAACACACACAAACACACAACGATGCACCGCCGCAGGAGTACAGCCGCGCCGCACACCTGCTCAGCAGCATAGCGCCCTCGCCGCCGGCCGCGCGCGGCACCATGGCGGAGCAGCGTGCGCCGGCGTGCACCAAGGCTCTGTTTCTGCGGGCCTACAGCCTCTACCTAGCCGGGGAGAAACGGCGAGAGTGAGGCCCAAACGGCCCTACCCTCTCCTGCTGCCGCTGCAGCTGCTGCTGCTGCGGCTGCTGCTGCCACCGCCGCCGCTGCTGCTGCTGCCGCCGCCGCCGCTGCTGCTGCTGCCACCGCCGCCGCTGCTGCTGCTGCCGCCGCCGCCGCTGCTGCTGCTGCTGCTGCTGCTGCTGCTGCTGCTGCTGCTGCTGCTGCTGCTGCTGCTGCTGTGAGCTAATCGTGATTAAGACAGCAGCGGCTTCAACCTTGAGCGCCAAAGAACTCACGAGTGTCGCCTATCCCAGTGCATTGCAGCCTAGCTCATGTGCGTCACAATCTACCTGCACGGCGTGTGCAACCGCATGCCAAACACGCCCCCCCCCCACCATTCAGGGAGGAGCGGATACAAAAGTCCGGGCCGCTGGGCGGTGTGCAGCCGCCAAACAGAGAGCTCGCAGCCGTCGAGGCACTCCTGCGTGGCTGCGACGGCGGGCTTGGCGGCAACGCGACCGGCGGTGAAGGAAGGGGAGGCTGGGGCGTCGCTGACGAGGACGCGTTTTGCCTCTACCTGCGGGGCCTGGTGGCGATCGACAGGTGAGTGCCTTGCGCTGTGCACGCTGTGCTGTGCTGACCTGTGCTGTGCTGTGCTGCGCCGCGCTGCGCTGCGCTGTGCTTCGCTGGGCTATACGATGTGCATGAATCGTTCGCGCTGTTTTCATCCTTCGGATTGGGGATGGGCGAGTGCAACGCCTGCCAGCTTAGCGCATTTTGCCTTGTGGGGCACCGGAATGTGCGCACTGCGGGCCCTCCGTGAGAACGCGGCCCACACCTTGCATCGCCCCATTACCCCAGGGGCTGCGACGACGAGGCGCGGGCGCTGCTGGTGCGGTCTGTCAGCAGCTACCCCTGCCACTGGGGTGCGTGGCAGGTGAGCAGCCGGCGGCCGCGGTGCCACCTGATGGCCCTCATACTTGCGGGCGCATATGCACCCGGCAACATATTGGGGTGTGCGTGCTCCTGCCGCCAGGAGGGCGAGGTGCTGCACCGCCGAGCGCGCTGCTGGTGCCCGCGTGCCCGCCCTGCGTCCGGCGACCAGCGCAGGGCTCTGCACTGTGGTACCACTTTCCACGCATGCGTGCACACAGAACGCACACAATCTCTCCTTGCCCTCTCCCATTTTCTCTCCCTTCTCCTCTCACTTAGTTTCTCACATTTCACATGAGATATCTGACCACAGCGCACCTCTAGAATACTCACGCACACAAACACCCGACAAGCAAGCACCCGCGCGCATGCGCATCCTCACTGTGTCCGTCACCGCAGGCGCTCCAGGGCCTGTGCGGCGACCTTGAATCTGTAAGCCTCCTGCCGCTGCCGGCCCACTGGGTGCGCGACGCCTTCCTGGCCTCGACCTGCCTGGAGCTGCAGCACAACGCAGAGGCCCTCAGCCGGCTGCAGGTCATAAACCAGGTGGGCATCTTTCCAAACAGGCGCTGCCTGGTATCAGTGCGGCTGGCCTGGGCCTGGGCCCAGGCGTTGGTGCAGGGCGGGTGAGGGGCCTCTGGCGACGACTGTGGGGTCCTGGCGCCCGGTGTTGATGCAGGGGGTGTGGGATATCTGAGGGGGCCGAGGCGCCTGGTGCTGGCTGCTCGCCGCGTCTCGACCACCCAGGTGCTCACGCCTTGGTGCTGCCAGAGCCTACCATTGGTGCTGGTTGTGTGATTGATCACATGAACACACACACACATACACACACACACACCCGTACACATGAACACACGCATGAACACACACACACACACACACGTGTACACTCAAACACACACACACACACACACACACACACAAATACACCAGCTGTTTCCGGGCTCGGACTGGGTGACGTGCTCAGCAGCGACCGCGCACTACAACATGCGGAACTTTGATGGCGCCCAGGGGCTGTACGAGGATCTCCTGGGCAGGGACCCACACAGGGTGGAGGTGGGCTCGTGGGTGGGGCAGGCGTGTGCGCGTTCGCGGCGTTGTCGCACATGTGTGTGCATGCGCGGGGTGTGCATGCGTCGTGCACTGGCAGCTGCTGAATGGAGCCCTGCTGACAGACAAACACATCCTCGCACAATGTGCAGGAGTGGCAACATGTGTGTATGTGTGCGATTGATGTGTGCTTGATGTATGGTTGTGAAGATGTGTGTGTGTGTTGTGTATGGCATGTGTGCGTGTGTGTGTGTGTGTGAGTGTGTGTGCGCGCGCGGGCAGGGCTGCCTCTCATGTGCGTCCATTGCCGCACACGCTCTCGCGCATGCCAAGCTTGCGCGGTTGGTTTCAAACCCAGCCGTTCTCGGGCCTGCAGTGCCCCTACTCCACATTCAACGATTGTAGGACACTATTTCTTTTCTGATGCTGCGCCGCACACCCAGGGCATGGACTGCTACTCCAACATCCTCTATGTGAAGGAGCAGTTCGCAGCCCTCTCACACCTGGCGCACAAAGTGGCCGCCAGCGACAGGCGCGCGGCCGGCCCCGTGCGCTCAACGCGTTGTTTTGGCCCGTGCTATGCGACGCCCTGCTGACGGGTGTCACCCGCTGTGGGCGGCGCAGGGGAGCCCGCAGCGCTTGCCGCACTTCCGACGGCATTGGTGGACCGTGCCCGGCGCGACGCATGACGGTTTTACTCATGTACTTTGTACCATCCTCCCGCCTGCCCCGACAGGTACCGCCCTGAGAGCTGCTGCATCATCGGCAACTACTACTCCCTCAAGGTGACGCCGTGCGTCCAGCAGCCGCGCGGCCGAATGCATTGCGCCTGCGCGTGCCATACACCATGAAATTGGCGGAAGCCGGGCGCCCGGGGCGTGTGTTTGTTGAGACACCGGGTAACCGCTCTGTCCTTGTGACTGCGAGCCTGCTTGAAGCACAGGTGTCGCAGCCACCTGTTGACCACCTCGAATGGTGCAAACCCCGGTCTCACAGGGCCAGCACGAGCGCGCGGTGGAGTACTTCAGGCGCGCGCTGCGGCTGTCGCGCGGCTACCAGAGCGCCTGGACCCTGATGGGCCACGAGTTCGTGGAGATGAAGAACGCACCTGCAGCCATAGGTGCGTCTGCCATGCAATTGTTTGCGGCGGCCGTGTGCCTATACGTGTGTGCCCTGGCCTTGGCCTGTTGGGGTGCGCTTGAGAAGCTGGATCAGTGGCGGCTTGAGTTGCTCGTGCCCTGTTGTCGGATACGGTGCATGACTAATGCTGTGTCACCCGCCGCTTTCGTTGTCACCCGCTCCAGATGCGTACCGCCAGGCCATTGAGGTGTCACCGCGCGATTACCGCGCGTGGTACGGCCTGGGGCAGACGTACGAGCTGCTGCAGATGCCTTACTACGCCCTTTACTACTACAGGTGTGAACTTCAGGGTTCGCACCTTGCGCTGTCCTGTTTGCTAGTGCAGTGGGGAGTTTGGGATGCACACTATGGGCCTGTGAGACGGCAAGGAGCAGCAACGGCTCTTTGGAGTGCAGCGCAGGAGCCCCCGTGCTAGCAGCAGGAGCGCCCCTGCTCTCTCCAACACCCCTGTGTCAACACCTGGCAGCTCAGCCGCCGTGACCGCTGCCCATGGCGCCGCGCCCCTCAGGCGCGCCGCCATGCTGCGGCCGGGCGACCCGCGGATGTGGTGCGCCCTGGGGCAGTGCTATGAGAGCCCCGACCTCAATATGCCACAGGTCTGGGGGCGAAGGGATTCAAGTAATTCAACAGGACGACTCGCTTTTTGGGGGGGCAGCTGGGTCTGACCGGGGTCTGATTTAGATGAGGGGCGGGCTGAGCCTGGGGCACCCTGGGGTGAGCTGTTGGCGCTTGCTGGGCTGCGGGTCTCGCGATGCAGCAGCAGGCGCGGACGGGGAGGCCTGCCTGCGACGCGCCTGCATGCTTTTGTGTGATGCCAGGCGCCCCAGGATCTGGTGAAGTGCTGATTGCGCCTGGGTCGATCCCCCCCTCTGCGTCGCCGTCGTTTGCGGCGATGCAGGTGGCTGTGCGGTGCTACCGGCGTGCGGTGGCGAACGGCGACAGGGAGGGCATCGCCCTGCACAAGCTGGTGGGAGGGTGGCGTGTGTGAGAGCATGCATTGTATACGCACGTGCGCGGGCGTGCGTTTGTGTGTGTGTGTGTGTGTGTGTGTGTGTGTGTGTGTGTGTGTGTACGTGTGCATGAGTGTGTGCGCGCATACTGGCGATATTCTTTCACAAGGGTTATGACTGCAGCTGGTGTGGTTCATGCTGAGCCAGCTTCCCCTTGCTTCCTTTGTTTGGGTGAAACAGGCTTTGATGCTAACCCGCCCGCACCTAAACACCTCCACAGCTCCAGAATCCTACACAGCCCGGCCGATGCTTGGGCCCATCCCCTGCCCCACCTCTCGCACGACACCAGCGCGCCATCGCACCCCTCCCTCTGTGGCTGGTTTCCCCGTCCCCGCGCAGGCCAAGCTCCACGACGCGATGGGCGACCGCCCGACAGCGGCGCACTACTACCGGCTCAACTTGGAGCGCCTGGACGCTGACGGGGCGGCCGCGGGGTCGGACACGGTGGACGCGCTGCTGTTCCTGGCTGAGTACTGCAAGGTGGTTGTGGGGGCGGGGCGCGGCGGGTTGCCCCGGGCACGTGCCGGCACAGCAAAGGGTGGTGGGTGTTTGAGGGGGACATCGGGGCTGCTCTCGTCTTTTGTGTGTACACGCACATACTTGCACACATACATATCAACACCCACGTGCGTGTGTGCACGCATGCAAACATACATGCGCGTGCGCGCGCACACACACACACACACACACACACACACACACACACACACACACACACACCACAACCGCAGAGCCAGGGGGACCACCAGGAGGCCGAGGCCCTCTGCCAGCGACTCATGGACGTGGGGGGCCACGCCAACAGCAGGGCCAAGGCGCTCATGAGGGAAATGCGCAGCGCAGCATCAGGGGCCGCCGCACCACACTTTGCCGGGGCCGCCGCGACCCAGGGTGGTGGCGACGCGGGCCCCTGGGGCGGCGGCGGCGCGAGGGCGGCGCTGGGGGTGCGGGGCGGCGCGGTGGCGCGCATGCCGCTGGGGGCCGGAGGGGCGGGGGCGCCGGGGACGCCTGGGGGCAGCAGCATAATGGAGGAAGACATGGAGGACGATGAGTCACCAGGGGGCGCCGTCATGGCCGCCCTGGCGATGACGGCCGGCGGCGCCGGGCCGCCGCCCGGCGCGGGGGCGGCAGCAGCAGCAGCGGCTGCGACGCCGGCGGCGGCGGGCGGCGGCGGCGGCTGGGCGGGGGGCCTCTTTGCGTTGGACGGGGGCGCGGGCGCCGGCGGCGCGGGTGAGGTCGCTCCCAGTTTCGGCGGCCGCGGCGGCGAAGGGGACGGCGGCGATGAGGGCGGAGAGGGGTCTTCAGGGGACGACATGGAGGAAGCTTCCCCTGGCAGCACCCCTGGAGGCGTGGGCTGGGGCGCCACCGGCAGCAACGCAGACGCTGCAGCGGGCGGCGGCAGCGGCGGCAGCGCGATGCTGGTGGCGGTGCTGGTGCGGGAGACGGGCGCGCCGGCGGCCGCGGCGGCGGAGGCGCTGCGGCGCGCGGGGGGCGACGTGGTCGCGGCCGCGGTGAGGCTGCGGGAGGACGCGCAGCGGTGGTGATGGGCCGGGGTCGCGCACATGTCGAGACGCGCCGGCTGGTGGGATCGTCCGCCCCGGCTGCTGCGTCGCGCCCTGATTCGATGCAGCTCACTTATTGGGCAGCTTTGGCTGCGCGCGGAGGCACATGCTGCAAAGGCGGGTTGCCACCCACGTGCGCTAACTCTTCGATCCATGGGCCCCCATTTGCCGCGTAAAAGCTTGCTGAAACTCACTCGCGTGGGTGCACTCTGCACCCCTCGACCAATCTCACAAGCTGTTGCTCACTGGCACCTCCCACGTCACCATGTTGATTCCATCTGCAAATTCACGACCGAGGAATTTCCTCTGTTGCTCCCCTGCCATGGAACTGGATGAGATCGGCTGTTGCAGCGCTCGACTCTGCAGCCAACAAACAGGCAGCATTCAGGTCTTGCGGGCCAGTCAAGCGGGGGTAGGTGTCAAGATCACCGGGGCCCCACATGGATGTGGAACATTACTCGGTGAACGCGCAGCATCAGAACCCACAGCAGAAAGCAGCCGAATGCAGTTCAGTCCAGAGCCCTGAAAAGTCGGAACGTAAAACCCGGCTACGAAAGCGGCAGCAGAATCCAGTCCAGTCCAGTAACAGCCCAAGCTAAGCCTGAAAACAGCAGATATGGGTCAGTGGCCACGCCCATGTGCGAACTATCTACCCTAAACCATCCACAGAAGTCGCGACAGCGCGCATCGCCAGGGGGTGCCAGTGCGTGATACCCTTTCCAGTTTCGTGCTGCATCCTGCCACGACAAAATGAGAGGCCACCCCATCCCAACGCAGCGAGCCAGAAAGTCAGATTCGTGGAAGTGCAGCACGCGCGGGCCAGCGGCAGCCAGCCCCGCGCTGACACTGGGGAGAGGCGAGGCGACCCTCCAAGCGAGACGTTGGTCGAGAGTGGGGATCGGAATTGGATCAGGAAAGCAGGAGTGCTGCTTTTGAGAACGAGATGCCCCCGGTTGGTTGAAAGTCATCCAAAGGTGCCAACCCCATGGGCTGGCCGTCACCTCAAACCCAGCAGGGTCCGAGGTGCGCTCTGGGCGCTCCTGCGCCCAGTGTCGTGAAAACTGTCTTTTGAATCTGTCAAACGGCTGCTCAGGCCGCGTCTGCCTTCGCCTTCCTGCGGCCGAAGCAGCCGTGGAAGGTGGCCTTAATTATCGCCTTGAGGCCGCCGCCCCTGCCACCCTTGGCCTGCGCCGGCCCCCGCAGCGCGGCCGGCCCCTGCTGCGGCGCTTGCGGCTGCTGGCCGTGGTCGCCGGCCGAGGCGCCGCACGCCGGCACGGGGCCGGCCCCCAGGCCACTGTCGCTGCTCCTGCCGCTGCTGCCGCCGCCGCCAAGCAGGCCGCGCGAGCGGCGGCGGTCGGAGCCACCAGGAGTGCCGACCGCGCCGCTGCCGGCGCTGCTGCTGGTGCTGCTGCGGGCCAGCCGGCGGCCGCCCGAGCTGCAGGCGCGCTCCAGCCGGCGCCCCTCCAGCCATGAGGACGGCAGCGCGGCCGCGGCCGCGGCCGCCTCAGCCTTGGCGGCGGCAGCCTCCGCCCTGGCCTGCTCCGCCTCCTGGCGCGCCGCCGCCAGCGCCGCCCGGTGGCTGGCGTTGCGGGCGCGCCTGCCGCGCACCACCTCATTTGTGGCGCTGCGGAAGCGCCGCCCGAACAGGGCCATTGTCACCTGCGCCGCCATTGCCAACTGCTGAGCCGTCGCCGCCTTAGCGTCGGCCGCGTCGGCCGCGGCGCGCTGGCGCTCTGCGTCCGCCGCGCTGGCGGCCGCCCGCTCCTCGGCCGCCGCCGCCGCAGCCTTGGCCGCGGCGCACTTGCCCGCGAGCGCGCCGCAGATTCCGAGCAGCTGGTCGCCGCGCGCCTCGGCCGCCTGCAGGCTTGCCTGCAGCGCCGCGGTCTTCATCTTCCACTCCCCCGCCTCCGCCTTGGCCGCTGCCGCCAGCCGCGCCGCGCCGAGCGACGCCTTCTGGGCGGTGCTGCGCTCGCGCTGGCCCCGCTTAGCGCCCGCCACAGCGGCGGCAAAGCCCTCGGCCTTGGCCTTGAGAGCGTCATGGGCGGCAGAGAGAGCTGCCGCGATCCCTGCCACCCTGCTCTGCATGGCCTCGTGCGCCTCGCGCTCGCGCCGCGCCGCAGCCTCACCCGCGGCCGCGCGCGCCTCGGCCGCGGCCGCCTCAGCCTGCGCGGCGCCCGCCGCCCTCTCCGCCGCCTCGCGGGCGGCATCACGGCCGGCCAGCTGCCCCTGGAGTGCGGCCAGACTCGCCTGCAGAGCTGAAATGCTGCGCTCAGCCGCGGCGCCCTGCGCCGATGACTCAGCCTCAGCTTGCTTCAGCTGCTTGCGCAGCGAGTCGCGCTCGCGCCGCACGTCGGCCATCGCTGCGCCCTGCGCCCGCGACTCCTCGGCAAACTGCTGCTCCCGCACGGCGGCATCCCGCCGGCCCGCGGCCAGCTGCTGGCGAACAGCCTCGGCCTCGCGCTGCGCCCCCGCAAGCGCCGCGCCCTGTGCCTCCGCCTCGCGCCGCGCCTCCGCGAGCGCCGCGCTCTTCGCCTGAGCGTCGCGCTGCGCATCGGCAAGCGCCGCGCTCTTCGCCTTGGCCTCGCGCTGCGCCTCTGCCAGCGCCGCGCCCTGCCCCTCTGCCTCACGCCGCACCTCGGCTAGCGCGGCGCTCTTCGCCTCGGCCTCGCGCTGCGCGGCGGCCAGCGCCTTGCCCTGCCCCTCGGCCTCGCGCCGCGCATCGGCCAGCTGTGTCTTGACGCCGGCGGCGCCCTCCTCCGCCGCCACCGCGCAGCGCTCGGCCTGTCGGCACTCGCGGCGCGCGGCTGCCAGCTGCCGCGCCGCGTCCTTCGCCGCCTCCTTCGCCGCGCGCTCGCCCTCGGCCGCAAGGGCCGCGGCGTGCGCCTCGGCGTCGGCGACGCGGCCCCGCAGCTGGGCGGCCTCCGAGGCCGACGCCTGCGCCTGCTGCTGCGCCGCGCGCTTCTCCGCCTCTGAGATCTGCAGGTAGGCCCGAGCCGCCTGCAGCGCCCTGGACTCGCTGGCAGCCTTGCCGGCGACTGTCTGGCGCTGCCGCTGCTCTTCGGCCACCTCTGCCCTCAGAGCGTCGCACTCCGCGGCCAGCGCGCCCTCGCGGGCCGCCACCCGCTCCCGCTCCTGCTGCAGCTCGCGGGCGAGCGCCGCCGCCTGGCGCTCGGAGGCGGCCGCGGCCTCATAGGCGCGGCGCGCGGCCTGCTCCGCCGCGGCCTCCCGCTCCAGGCTGCCCACCAGGTCGATCGCGGCCTGCGGTATGAATGTTGTCAGAGAAGAAGTTTTTGGGCATGGTGGGCTTGGAGAAGGGGGGGTCGTGAGCGATGGATACCGGTATGCACCGGTATTGCAAGATTGCCGGGAGTTGCGGCCAAATACAGGCCCCGAATCGGATGGGACTCTTATTCAAACGGCAAGGATCTCCGGTAGCAAGCAAGCAGCCATTAGCCCCCGCAATCAACGTCAGGCGCGCCCACCTGGGTAGCTGCTGCCTCACGGGCGTCGCCGGCCACCTTGGCCGCCGCCGCCTCAGAAAGGGTCAGCCGCAGGGCCGCCGCCATCTCGGCCTTCTCGGCCGCCGCCACCGCCGCAGTCGCTGTGGGCCTCGCCGCCGCCGCCATCACCGCTGCCAGAACTGGGGGCGCACACCGCGCCTGCCGCGCCGCGACGGGCGCCTGCGCCTGCGCCGGCGCCGCCAGCGGCGTCACGGCCGCGGCGGGCGGCGGGACAGCGGGCGCGGGGCCGCCCTTCCCGCTCGCCGCCTCGAAGACCAGCAGAATCGGCGTCTTCCCGTCCCTGCCGCCCCGCGCCTCCCGCGCGTTGCCCATCATCGCTGAATACGAGCCATCTCCCCACACCCCCACGTGGGCGTCGTCGCACAGCGTCCACTGCGCGCCCGCGTCGCCCACGCCGCCACCCAGGCGCCCCTCCGCCACCAGCGACTTGAAATGCAGCCCGCAGGCAAACGTCACTGCGCGGAGGTGGTACCGCTGGCTGTGGCCGGCGGGCGCATGGGGCATCGCCGAGGCCACGTCGATGCTGTGGGGTATGAACTTCTCGTTCATGATGCGCTCAAGCTCCTCCGGCGTCACCCCATTGTCCCAGGGGTGCCCGGTGTAGCGCACGACCAAGACGGGGCCGGCATAAGTGAGGGGCATGCGGTCCCGCTGCGCGCAGTTCGAGGGAAAGGGAACGCGAGGGGTTGGCGAAGTGAGGTGGGGTGAGGTCCGGGGCTTTTGAGTGGTGCTGGATGCCGTTCCGGGCCCAAGTGGGGCGGCAACGGCCGGATGCAAAGGCTCGACAGTAGCGGCGTTTACGCGGCTGGGTAGGTGGGCGCCCGTCGGTCCGCGGGCGCGCGGCGCGGCATTGCGCAAGGCGCCGTGCCCTGATCTGCTAAACCCCAATCAGATCGCGGGCCGCCCAAGATCGCAACCCACAGAGAGGTGTCCGCAGAGGCCCTTTGCCGCCATCGCCGCCGCCGCCGCCGCCCCAATCCCACCGCCCTTGCAGCCCGGGCACGGGCAGCCGCCCGCGCGCTCGCGTAGGCAGTTGAAGCTGACGGGGACGCCGACGATCAGCGACCCCATCAGGCTCTGCTCCGCAGAGATGTCCACATCGATGCCCTCGCACGCCGCCCCCACGCAGCCGTGAACGGGCGCCAGGACGGAGCAGCCCGCGGAGTCGCAGCGCGCGTCGCCGCGCGCGCAGGCGCGCAGCAGCTCCGCGACGGGGCCCTCGCCGACGGTCTCGCGCAGCACAAACATGAGCGCCGAGAGGAAGCGCGTCGGGCTCCCCATAAACCCCGGCTCAAAATCATCCAGGTTCATCGGGAGCGTGAGACGCAGGTCGTAGATCGCGCGCACCAGCGGCGCCGCGTCGCCCTGCTCCCGGCTGCGCGGCGAGGGGGGCGATGGGGGGAGCGTGCGTGTGCGCGTGAGCGTACGCGTGTGTGACGCATGCCTGTGCGTGTTTTTGTGTGTGTGGTGGGGGGTTAATTGACGGCCAGCTTTGTGGCGGAGGCGGCGTGCCGATTGGTCTGGGGGCCCATGCAGTGCAGCCGGTGAGTGCAGGCAGGAAGCGACCGGGGAGCACAGCTCAGTGCATCGCCCAGCAGACCCAGCGCCGGACGCGGCCGCCCCGCCCGGCCCCACGCTCCGCTGCCCAGCGCCGCGCCGCGCCCCTGCCCATGCCCGTGCCCATGCCCCGGGCGCGCGCGCCCTCGGCCCCCTGGGGCGGCCGCTGGCACAGTGGGCCCGCACCTGATGAGAATCCTCTGATGCACCCGCCGCAGCTGGTCCAGCACCGCCAGCAGGGGCGGGTGGGCGCCGGGCTTGGTGGGGCCGGACAGCAGCGCCGTCAGCGGCTTGCAGGACAGCACGGCCTGCAACGCCGAATTCGCGTAGCACAGGTTAGCCTTGCCGGGGTTGACCAGGCCGCCCCGCGGCGCCACGGCCGCGCGCGCCACCTGCCAGCAGGTTCAGGTGAAGAGGGACGGCGACCGTGCCATAGGTGAATCGAGCGGTCGGCCGGAGGTGGCGGCTGTTGGCCTGCGCGGCGCCGTCAGCCCGGCAAGGACGCGCGCGGCACGCGGCTTGCTCGGGCGTCCCGCACAGGCGACCGGCCGCCAAAAATGCCCGCACGGCGCTTTTGCAGGCAATAAGGTCAAATCAAGTGCATCGACTAGGGTCCTTGGGAACGTGGCGCACCCGCTTGGCGTCTGCTGCCTTGGTGTCGTTGTACGATGGCGGGGCCGTCTTTGCGGCGGTCGCCTTGGCCCGGGCGATCTCGGCCAGCGCCGCTTGGCCGGCAGGCAGGGGCTTGGCCTGGCGTGGATGTGTGGAGAGAGGCAAGAGTTCCACGCGTGTGTGCTCTTGCGTGTGTGCGAGATGAAGAGAGGTGCGCGCACGTGTGTATGTATGTGTGTGTGTTTGTGGGTGTGTGTTGAGCACGAATGTGTGTGAGTGTGTATGTCTGCGTCTGCGGCGGCTCATGCATGTGCATGCAATAGCATTCAATGGGTGCAGCGCATAGCGCGGGATTATGAGGGGCCGACGAGGGGTTGGAGGTATGGCGGCTGCCAGGTGTGCGGGTGGCATGGCGTCAACTGCACATGCTTGCACGCACACAGGCCTATGATGGCAACTCGAGCACTCACCGCTGCCTGAGGGCGGGCGTTGGACCCCTTGCCGCTCTTGCCCTTGCGGCCCATCGCTTCCCTGTGCGCGGCAGCAGGTGGGCGCCGCACCGCGGCGTCGCAGGGTACGCCGCTTGGCGCAGCGGGCGCTCCGCTGTCGCGGCTGGAACCTTGCGGCGTGTGGCGCTAGACCAAGGCTTATAGAATAATACTATGAAGTGATAGGAATACGCCTGAAAGAGTCTCAGGGCCTGCGTGCAGGCTGCATGCTGATCCGGCAGCTTTCACGCAAAGGGGGCCGTGTGCTGTATATACGGGGCTTAGCGTGCTCTGGTTCTCACGACTGCATCCTTACACCAAGGTTAAAGAACGATTGAAGTGTGCGAATGAACTCAAAGCGGACCTGGTCAAACATGTTTCCGTTTTCGAATCCCCACGCCAGCCATTCATGCCAAAATGCACAAAAACATCAAAGAAAAACACAAGAATGCTCTTAGAGCACGACGTACCACCGCCACAGCTCACTTCCCAGCTCTTCACCACTGCCCCGCCTCACCCGTGCAGTTGACCGCTGCCGTTTGTATGCCCAACCGTGTAGAAAAGCGACAATGAGACTCAGCCTTGTTCTACCTGTGAAAGTGATGACCTTGACATAGACGCGCCGTCAACATGCAACAATATGCCTCCAGATCCGCCCAAGTGATCCTGCCGCCTGACATGCCCCCAGCCTCACTGCCATAATCCCGGTTCTTGCGCATCGCAAGCCTCAGGCGCGGCCTGAGTCATGTTGCAGCTGCTGCAAGCTGCTCGCCACCCCATTGTTGAGCATGTGGGGTTGGGGCTCCCGGGTTTTTTGTGCAGCGTTACATGGTAGCTCTGGCGACCTTGTTTGCAATATCAAACGCACCCAAGCCATGCCTCTACACTCTTTTGTGCAAAAAAACCACCTTCCAGGGCTGCAGCGAGTGCTGACCACACACGGCGTCCCACCCAGCCACTCAGGCCTAAGAGCTCAAGTCTGTCTTGGGGCGCAGCAGGAGGTATATGGCTGGGCCCACCAGCGGCAGCAGTGACAGCAGCGGCACCAGCGTCCCCCTGCGGCGACCATCCGGCGTGGCAGGGGTGGTGAAGGACCGCGGTACAAAACCCACCAAAGGACAAGACGCAGGTGGCAGCAGCTGAACAGACCAACCACTGCTCATCATACCGACTACCTGGTGCACTACGAACACACATGCGAGCTCACAAGCACTCGAGCAAGCATTCGCCTCCGACACGCATACACACGCCGTCGTCCGCCAAAGGTCCCCCGCATGCAAGCCCTGCACACGCGCCGCCCCACCTCTGCTCCCAGCCGCGCCCCTCCGCGTCGTTGCTCATCCAGAAGGGCGCGAGCAGCGTGCACAGGCAAAAGTCGATGGTGGTGGCGTGGACCAGCCTGCTCTGGTCAAACAGCTTCAAGAAGGCCAGCCACGCCTCACCGCCTGTCAGCAGTTGATGGGCAGTGCGAGACCAGCGTGGCTGTCAAAGAAGACGTGTGACGGGGGAAGCGCCGCAGACAACGCCATGGCGAGGTGGTGCCAGGGCCCGCCTGGCTGCGGCGGGGCCGCCTGGGGAGCCAAGAGGCTCCACTCAAATGGCTCAGTAAAAGCTGGCACGGCCCCTCTCAGTCCTGCAGAATGAGGGCTGTGAACGAAGGAGGTCGCCGTGCCCGACGCCAGCAGCCGGCCGCACACCTGCTGTCGCCATCTGGAACGTGAAAAAGGCTGCGCCGGCTGTGAGCAGTGCGGGCAGCACGGGGGTCTCGGCCCCCTTCATGTACAGCCGGCTCCAGCCCTCCTGTAAGGCGGGGGAGCAAAGCAAAGGAAGAGGTCATGTGCGTGCAATCCAAGGCCCAAAACTGGACCCCCAGGCGACGCCAGAAACCAGAGCGTCGGGAGAAGGCGGACTGCCGGTGACCGGTAGATCAGGTCGGCTGCAGGCAGGCCATCAGGTGCGGATGCTGCGTTTTGTTGAGCAAGCGCCGCACCAGCTCCTCCTTTGGCGGCGGCAGCTGCTGCGGCGGGTCCTTGGGGCTCCACAGGGCCATGTATGGGATCAAGGCATAGGCCCCTAGGAACACGGACGTCGCCACAAAGGGCCACGCGGGCAGCTGCGTGCGACGGATGCGGGCGTGGGGAAAGGGGGGGAGTCTGTTTGAGGCGGCGCGCAAGAGTCTGCCAATTCGCGCACGAGTTCGAAGGCTAAATGGAGACAGCAAGGCGTCCAAGACACATGCTGCAAGCAGGCAGAAAATGGCCGTCTCGAGGGGCCTGAGGTTGGGTTGCGCATACGCAAGCCGACCTTGTCGCTGCGCGCCGCGGGGATGAGGAGTGCGGCGTAGATGAGGGGGTAGAACCCCATAGCGTTGAAGAGCGCCGCAAACACGGTGTTCACCTGGGGGTGGACAGCCCATGCGTGACAAGGCAGCGTTGCAGGCGGAATTCAGCATCGCTTGGGCGCGGGAGCAGCAATGCAGGCAGCTGGAGCGCCGAAGGGCTGTAGGAGCCGTGCGGGCCCTCATGGAACAGCATGCTGCAACGCTGTGCGGTCATGTGGCGGCGGCGTGCCCGTCGTCACCCCGACGTAACTCTGTGATGTGCCTCATGCGTCACCCGGTGGCCCGGCGTCACCTGGAAGGGGTCATCCGGCTTGAGGCCGACCAGCTTCTCCACAGTGAAGGCGTCTATTGTCGGCGTCTGGTTGGGCGCCAGCACAAACACATAGCCTGGAGGCACATGAGCGTTATAATAGGGGATTCATGACTCATTATGCATTGTTAAGCGGGTGTCCAGGCGTGCGGCGGCGGACAGGGCGGGCCGAAGGGCGGCCGCTGCGTGGCCGAGCGTGGAAGCGGCCAGGGTTGCCTCTGTCACTGCTGGCCAAAGCAGCATGCTCCAAAGCGTGATGCAGAGGGCAGCTGATAGCCGGTCACATGATGGCAGGCACCAGCAGCCGTTCTTGCAAATGCGCACCCAGCAAGGCCCCCCACAGGGCTAGGAGCGCCACAGTGATGAGGCCGTCGCCGCTGCCCTCGCCGCCCTCACCACCCTCGCCGGCGGCACGCGCTATGACATCACGCCCTGGCTGGTGACGCTGCTGCATGGGCGCCGACCGCCGCGGCTGCAGCTGCGCCTGCGCCAGCGAGAGGCCTTGGCCACGGGGGCTGCCAATGGCGGCTGTCAAGACGGCCGCCCGCACTGACGGTTGCTGCCGCAGCTGGCCAAAGCCTGGTACTGTCCGCCAGGCCTGACGCAGCGGCGCCTGTGCAGAGAGCAAAAAGCATAGGTTACTGATGCATGGCAACATCCACAGTGTGTCTGACATCCTCACTTGCATGCCGTCATGCATTCGCTTTGCGGCTGACGGCGCCAGCCACGCACTCCACGCACTCCCCCCCACTGGGTTGATGGGTCACGCTTGTGGCGCTCGGCTGCCGCACCCCCGCTCATTGCACCCACCACGCAGCCCGCAGTGCTGATACGAATTTGCTGCATTGCTTTGCGATCCCGCTGCCTTCAAGTACAAACGTCTCTGACAGCAAGCTCCAGATCACAGGCTGGACGTGATGCAAAGCTTGGTTTGCAAGTAGTTAAGGATCAAAATCGATTCGATTTCGAAAAAAAGTGGCCAGAAAACCTGCCATTCAAGAGCTCGGCAATCAACTGCGCAGTTGATGCAGCCTTGCGGCTGCTGCAGCAGCATGGTTCGATGATAGCCTTTGCAAGAGCCAAGGGGCGAAGCTCCAGCCTGACGACCTCCTGAGTCGGCGCAAGTGTTGGTCTACGTTGGTCAACGCCTGGCCCCTGCACGAGCCCGCTCATCAAGCAGTGACCATGTCATTTCCTGAGCAGCTCGCAGTTCAAATACAACGTCGTGCAGCATAGCGCACACAGGTCGCGTCGCACGTCGTGGACACCCCATGCTGCAGACGGCCCCAGGGCCCAAGCCCCCCACCCCAAAAGCAACATGCGCAGGTGGCACAGCAGACCAAGTGCAACTCAGTTTACAGAGGAAGGAACGTGACATGTCCCATTTTTGCCAGGATTCTTAGATAGTATGGGTGCCAGACGCAGCCATGAGAGCCACAGGTCTGGCATGGCCCCTGGCGCCTGGCGCCTGGCAGGGGTCAGAGGCACCAGAACAACGCCTTGCATGTGGCGCAATGAAAGCGCAGAAAGCTCGCGTGCACCTGCCCTGCAGGTTGCTGTGGGAATGGCATCTCACAAATAAAGTGGCAGTTCTCAAAATTCCCATCCTCCTGGCAGCCGTAATTATGGTAGTAGGGCAGCAGCCCCCAAACGCGGGTGTAGAAAGCTCGGCGGCACCTCGCCACGCGCGCCGAAAAGATACTCAAAGCAGTCGAAGGCAGATGCGCACCCCTCCCTGCAGTGGCTTGGGGCCAGAGGGCTTCCCCTGTGAAGGTGGAGCGTTTCAGATGGCACAATGTGCACGGGCCGAGATTGTTGCGCGGCCCCAGTAAGCAAACGCAGTTCATGCATCGTGAGTGTAGTAAAAAGCGTTGCAAGTTGCCTGGCTGAAGGGCAACAAAACGAATTAGACAGAAGAAGAGCTAGCCCCTTGGCTGGCAGCGCGACGGCGGCGGCCCCAGGATTGCGGAAAAGAGTCCGCAAAAGCGAGGTGCTTCCCCCAAACAACAATGCTTAGCCGTGCGTTTGCTTGGAAAAGTGCACGGGCGTCGCACAATACCACAGATCCTATAGATTTAAGCCACGACGCTCATAACAGCGGCGCGCGGCGAAAAGGCGAGCCCACCCCCCAGCCGGGGCGCAGTCACCGCGTTCCCCCGCCGGCCGCCGCCCCAGCGCCCGCGCCTGCGGCCTCTGGGCCGGCGGCCAGGACTGCGAAGAGCGCCCAGCCATCGGGGTAGTAGGGCCAGCTCTCGGAGTAGCATTGGGCCATGGCTTCGAGGGGCAGAAACCTGGCGCAGTCGAACAGCAGCATGCCCTTGAGCGTCGACTCGGACGCGTAGCTTCTTGCCAGCTCCTGCAGCAGCTCCCCGCGCCGCTCGCTGCTGTCGGCCAGGAGGGATATGGTCTCCCCAGCGAGCGCGCCTGCGGGCGCGGCGGAACCGCCAGGGCAGCCAACAGGTCGGGTCGGGCCGCAGCAAGGCGGGGGGCGGAGGGGTGGGATCGCCGGCGGCCCCAGCACCGAGCGGCTTGGCAGGGCCTGACAGCGGGGACGGGCGAGAGGCGGTACGAGGCAGGCGCGGCGGCCGACCGCACCTCCGAGCATGGCTTCCGGCACCTCTTTGTCGAGCTCCGCCAGCTCTGATAGGATGTCCTGCTGTTGGGCCCGCAGCTTCGCCTGGAGGGGGGGTGCGAAGGGGTGGCGCAGGGGCAGCAGGGGAGAGCTCGGCCGCGGCGGCGGAACGGCGCTGCGGCTGAATCAGGCGTCGGCGTCGGAGCCAATCCGGCCGCAGGGCGTCGGCAGCGCGACCCCTCGCTCCCGGTCGCACACACGCGTCCAGCAGTCGCTCCAACGTGTCCGTGCTGGCCATCCTCACGGAATGCTCACCACTTTCTTGTCCAGCAGGCGCCACCCCTCCACCAACTCAGCCACAGCGTCCTCCGACAGCACCTCTGTGACACGGCACGCCGCCAGCAGGCGCCGCCAGTGGGCTGCGGGCGCGACCTCGAAGGCGCGCGTCTCGAAGTTGACGTTGCACAGGCGGCAGCGGAACGCGGGGCTGACGTAGTGCGCGGCGCGCACGTAGGATATGAACTGCAGGAACAGGCGGATCCAGGTCGCGTGCGCCTGCTCGCCTTCCGGGCCGCTCAGGGACTTAGCGGCCTGCGAGCAAGTGGGGGCAGCAGGAGGGGCGGCCTACCATGAGCATGCTGTCCAAAGGCTAGAGGCGGGGCGCCGCCTGCACGACACAACGGTGATGCCGGCTGTGCTGGCACATGCCTTCGCAGGCTGTCCAGGCGCTTGCGTCGCGCTTTGCCCGCGCAGACCTTCAAACACGCCCCTGATGAAGCTCGTCCTGCCAAACGCGTGCGGATTTGCATCCAATCTGGAACCTTTGTCCACTTCGGCCCGCACGTCTGGTAGAGTGACAACAGATTGACCACCAGCCGACCGCCGCCTCACCATGGATGCGTCGTATAGCCCCTTCAGCCGCGCCCCCACCACCCTGATGCACCCCTCCGGCAGCCCCGCCACGCCGCCCTCCACCAGAAGCTGCCCGCGCTGCAGCTGCCCGAGGATCTCAGCCATTTCTGGATCCCCAGACGGCTCCGGCGGCGTGAACCCCGCCCGCGCGCCGCCCGCCCCGCCGTCGCCGTCGGAGGCCGCGTGGGTGCCCGAGCTGCTGCCGCTGTTCTGCTGCGCGGACGACGCGGCGGCCGGCGGGGTCGGCGGGCAGGCATCCGTCTCTGCAGGCACGTGCCAGGCGTGCCCCTCGTGCGCGCTAGCGGCACCTTGCTCGCCGCTCGACCCGGAGGCCGTGGGCCGGGCGCCGCCGGCCGCGGCGGCGCCGTGGCTACGAAGGTTGTGGTCGCCGCATTCTACGGCGCGCGTGAGCGCGCGCACGCGCGCGCGCAGGACGAGGTTGTCTTGCAGCAGCGACTCGAGGTGACGGCGCTTCGCCTCCACCTCCTCTGCCATCGCCGTCATCTGGTTTCATGTGTTTGCATGTGCGCGCGCGTGTGTGTGAATGTGTGTGTGTGTGTGTCCTGTGCATGTACGTGAAAACGCAGGTGTGTGTGTGTGCATGCATGAGTTCGTGTGCGTGTGTGAGCGTGCGCATGCATGTGTGTGGGCGCATGCCTGCACAAGCCGTCTGATGAGCGCGAAGCAAGCCTCGCTGGTGACGCTGGGTTGGGTTGGCTCAGTCACGCTTACCAACCCGCACATGCACAACAAACAGCCAGCTCGTGCTCTGCGCTGCAGATCCCCCATGCGGCGCTGACCCTGGTAAGCTATTGATAACTCACGTTGTTTTTGACCTTGACTTTGTACCTGGCCCGAGAGGCGCGCATGAGAATTCGCCGCCTCTCTGCCTTATCCACTACTC